TGAGTGGGGCACAGTGGCCATCCTGCCCTGGGCCCTCCTCTGTCTCCCCACGCTGCAGTAAGTCAGGAGCCGCTCAGCATCCCCAAGACGTCAGACAAGGGAAAATATATGCCCCTGCGGGCCGGCAGGACGCTGGCTGGCCAGGAGCGATCCAGACTTGTCCCGTCATTGGTGACTGGACCCATGCCAGCCTGTCGCCAGGTTGTGCCCTTTCTGGTGGGTCATTAGAGGCCCTGGTAACAGTGTCTCCAGACTGACCCCTGGTGCTGTGGCCCCATCCACCAGTCGCCAGTGTGAAGAAAGGTGATGGCAAGGCAACCAGCCCGCCCCCCAAGTTCTGTTTTCACCTAGCCTGTGTGACCTTCATCTAACACCAAGCCTATCGTATAACAAAGCCTTGAACATCTCAAGTAATTTATTGAGTCCTGAACTGGAAGGGGGGAAGGAAACAGCATGGCCGTGTGGGTAAGAGTGGTCGTAAGTGTGTCAGGCGTCCACTCTCGTGATCGCCTGGCTGGCTGGGAGCTGTGGCTCGCTGCCTCCGCCCAGCATCACGGGAGAGCCCCCCCAACTGCATAGCACTAGCCCCAGAAAAGATCCAAATGCACAATTCAAAGTACGGCTTCTAGTGAATGTGTATCCCGTTAGCACCATCGTAAAGTAGAAATACCATAAATCGGGGCACATGTGCTCACTCGGAGCACATAGGCGGTGCATAGAGAAGTCCACTTGTGATCTCTCTGTCTCCATTGGACCACGAACATCAGAAACAGGTTTGTCCGCGTGTGTGTGTTGAGGGGCAGCATACACATCATTTCTTTCACCCTGGCATGGGCTCGCCAACAGGGAAATGGCCATAATTCGTTCACTGACATAGTGAGTCATCGACCATCGAGTAAGCGCTATATATGTCAGACGTGACACCCAAGATGGAAAGAAACCAACCCCGAATATAGCATCATGCCTGCCTTCAGGGAGCTTGCCCCCCAAGGAAAAGATGAATAAGCAGGACACTGATGCCACTGATGGTGGCAGTGATCTGTGCCCGGGCTGGGTGGGGCTGCCCCATGCTTGATCCCTGCAGCAAGGGTCTTCAACCCCCAGGGGGTGGAGGAGGGTGGGCAGGGGGAGTCAGGGGAGCCTGTTGGAGTACATGACCTCTAAGCCGAATCCCGAAGGTCATGTAGGAGCCAGGGTGAAAGGATGGGCCCGGAGATGAGATGGAATGGAGCTTGGGGCAGGTGAACGGGCCTTTTCAGGACCTGAAATCGCCCAGCGAGGTGGGCCCTGACCCGGGTGACTGAGAGGTGGGAGGCTGGAGAACTGAACGCGCGGCTTCTTCCATCCACTAGGGGAAGATGGAAACCCAGAATCGCGCACCTTGGGTCAGAGGTAGAGGTAGGTGCATCCTCTGACTGGGAAGAGGCCCAGCGAATGGCCTTCCCATCCCTCAGGGCGATGCACAGATACAGAGAGAGCACCCCACTTCCCCACATGGATATAATTTCAGTGTTTCCCAAAGGGGTTTCTAGGGATCACTACCCCTTTCAAAAGAGGGGGTCTAGGGAAAAGGATTTAAGAAATGCTACGCGCATTATGAACGTAGACGTTCATAAAAGACACATTGACATGGTGAGACTCTGAGAAGTCCCGCAGTAAAGCGACCAGTTTAACATTATAGTGCGGCTCACATTTATTTTATCTTGAAATTTCTTCCCCCTCAAGATCCCCACTTAAACCCCCTGCCCACTCAGCTGTGAAACAGCCAAACGTGTGGTCGTGGCCGCCTCTGAGACGAAGATCCTAAGGCCAGTGTCTAAAGACGCAGCTGAAGTTACTAAGCGAAACCCCAGACCCCAGGTCAGCACAGCTGTCAGACATCAGCTGTGCGTGGGCTTGGGCGTTGCTGGCTTTGCTCACTGATTCTCAAAGGAGGGCTCAGGCATTAGTGCAGGCAGGGCAGGAAGCTCTTTCCAGGTTCATCCACCCATCGGGTGAGCCGGTGATGTCAGGTGGGGCTGCCTCCAGCACACGGGGTGGCTGATGGCACTCTGGGATAAGCCAAGAGGCTCCAGAAGAGTCAGCACCGAGCCAGACACCCCTGCCTCCTTCTATGGAGAGCCCCAGCTCGTCAGTGCTGAACTGCCCTCGTGACGTGGCGACGATATTTGAAAACATTGCCTGGGCAGGGGATGGGGTCCATGGGGCATCTGGTTGAAGAGCAGAGGATATCCTGCCTCTCACGAGCGTCCACCACGTCTCTACGAAGGGATGTGACTGGGGGAGGAAACAGCTCTACTACAAGTGGACCCAGGATAAGAGAGGAATTAGGGCAGAAGAGAAGTGTGAGCACAGAAAAGGCTGTTGGTGTTGTGAGGCCGCATGTAACTTAGAGCTCCGTGGAATCAGGGAAGGCTTTCCGGAGGAGGTGCTATTTGAGCTGGGCCTTGGTGTCAGGGGGATGTGGATGCCTGGTGGAGAGTGGGGGCCATTCCCAGAATAGAGCCCTTGGAGCAGAGGGAGGAAGGGAGGTGGGAGACGGCTAACTCAGAGCACTGGGGCAGGGGCAGAGAGGGTCCTGGCCCTTCTGCTTATCATCCCTCCATCCCTGTGATGCCTTTGCTCTGGTTTGTCTTCAAGACATGTGGGATTCTCCTGAGTCCCATGGCCTGGATCTGCTGTCTGGACCCTAGGAGTAGAGGAGTTGAGGCTGAAGGGGATCAAGGAGGGCAGGGTCATTAAATCACTGCTGGAAAGGGCGGGCCTGGGAGAAATGCTGCCAGTGCAGGCCAGAAAGTCATGGCCTGGGGCCCAAGTGATGCGGTTTGAAGATTTAACCAGGTGGCAAGAGGAGCGGCAGCTGTGTCCAACGCATCTGTTAATGACCCGAGTGTCAAGTCATCCAGCTTCAGGGGCTTTGCTGGAGAAATCGGGTGATGCGGTGAGCCTCCAGTCTGCCAACGATTTGCTCAAGCAACTCAGTGTGTGCTGGGGTCGTCCCTATTTCCACCTGCCAGTGACCATCTTGCCAGTCATATGTGAGACCTAATGAGCAGCGCCGTCAGAGAACTCTGGGCAGGGGAGCTTTATTTTAAGGAGGAAACTGAGACTCAGAAGTTAAGGTATCTGGGGGAGGTCACACAGCAAAGCAGGCAAGCTGGGATTCAATTCTTTGTGACCCCAAAGCCCCGTGTTCCTGGCCTGCCACCCTGTGTGCCCATTCCCCCCCTCCCCAAGAGCTGAGAGTCCTGTGGCAGGTCCTCGGGCCGGGTTCTGGGGTGGTCCGAGGCTGCCTGCCCAGGGCACATGGGTTTGTGCGATGATGGGAACGCTACTGCCCTCCCTTACCCAGGCCTCCTCTCCTGTTTCTCAGAGATCTCAGGATCGGCCGTCAGACCAGTGATTTCTCTAACAATAGAACAATAGATGGCAGGTGGCTTCCCACAGTTCAGATGTGGGACAAGTCACACATGTCTCAGAGTGCACCTGCCACATGTCATATAAGCCAGAAATTATATGGTTTTTCCATAATCGGTGGTGGGCCCAGGGGCAAGCCCTGTAATTTGTGGCTCCTGGGGCACTCGGGGCCGGATTCATGGACTGGTCCTTCCTCTGCATGAAGCATCATTATCATCAGTAAGTACTTGCTGCACGTCCGATGGGTTTGGGGTTTGATGGCTCAGGCAAGAGTCACTTACAGCAAACTTGTCTTTTGTGCGACATTTCGCTACCTGCACCTCGGTTTCCCTCTTCTCTAAAATGGGAAGAAGATGCGTCCCCGTGGCCTTACAGTGCTGCTGCAAGGAACACAGGAAGTAACATTAGAGCGCCTTACGAACCACCCAGGTGGTTGTGTTAGCACGAGCCTGTGTGCCAGGCCGTGGGCTGTTGCCCTGTGAGCAGCCTGAGGACCGGGAGGGCTTCCGTGTGAGGCTGGCTTCTGCTTTCACAGGCGGCCCGATTTCCTTGGGGTCCAGATCTGCAGATGCCAGGCGCAGTCTTAGCTGTGGCCCTGGCTGGGGGAATGGGGGGACTCGTGTGAGCTTTCCTACCCTGCAATGTGGTGTAGACCAGGGGTGCTCAAACTTTCACGCGTGAGTCACCCGGGGAAGCTTGTTAGAGATTCCAGGGCTTCCTGTCTGGAGGTCCTAATGTGACAGGTCTGAGGCTGGGTCGGAAGAATGATTTTTGAAAAGCGGGACTGCAGGGGGGCCCCTGGGTGGCTCAGTGGTTGAGCACCTGCCTTTGGCCTAGGGCCTGATCCTGGGGACCCTGGATCGAGTCCCATGTTGGGCTCCCTGCATGGAGCCTGCTTCTGCCTCTCTCTCTCTCTCTCTCTCTCTCTCTCTCTCTCTCTCTCTGTGTGTGTGTGTGTGTCTCATGAATAAATAAATAAAATCTTTAAAAAAGAGAGAGAGAGAGAGAGAGAGAGAGGGCAGCCCCTGTGGTGCAGCGGTTTAGCGCCACCTGCAGCCCAGGGCGTGATCCTGGGGACCCTGGATCCAGTCATGTGTCGGGCTCTCTGCTTGGAGCCTGCTTCTCCCTCTACCTGGGTCTCTCTCTCTCTCTCTCTCTCTCTCTCTCTCTCTCTCTCTGTGTGTGTGTGTGTGTGTGTATGAATAAATAAATAAAAAATCTTAAAAAAAGAAAAGAGAAAGAAAGGAAAGGAAGAAAGAGGAAAAGGAAGAAAGAAAAGAAAGGAAAGAAAAAGAAAGAGAAAGAAAGAAAGAAAGAAAGAAAGAAAGAAAGAAAGAAAGAAAGAAAGAAAGAAAGAAAGAAAGAAAGAAAGAAAGAAAGAAAAGCGGGACTGCAGGCAAGGGCTGATCAAGGGGCGCCCAGCCCGGGCCCGGCCCGCGGGGATGGCGAGGGAGGGCTCTGCCCTGAAGGCCGCGGGGGGCACAGAGGCTTCCCGGGGAGGGGGGTCGGGAAGGTCGGGGGGGGGTGGGGGTGGGGGTGCAGGCCCCGGGCCTGAGCTGTGCTGTCCTTCTGTCCCGCTCCAGATCGTGTTCCGGAAGATCAGCGACGTGAAGCGGGAGGAGGAGGAGCGCATGAAGCGCAAGAACGAGGCGCCGCTGATCCTGCCCCCGGACCACCCGGTGCGCCGCCTCTTCCAGCGGTTCCGGCAGCAGAAGGAGGCGCGGCTGGCGGCCGAGCGCGGCGGCCGCGACCCCGACGACCTGGACGTGGAGCGGGGCGGCGGCCCCGAGCGCGAGCGCGAGCGCGCGGCGGCCCCCCACGGCGCGGCCAGGGCCAGCGTGGTCACCGTGCGCGAGAGCCCCGCCACGCCCGTGGCCTTCCCGGCGGCCTGCCCGCGGCGGCGGCGGGGCGGCGGGGGCGGGGCCGGGGCCGGGGCCGAGCTCGGCCGGCTGCACGCGCCCGGGGCCGACTGCGCGCGGCGCAAGGGCTGGGCCCGCCTCAGGGACGCGGGCGGCAGGCCCGAGGACTGGAGCCAGGTGGCCAAGGCCGAGTCCATGGAGACGCTGCCCGACAGGACCAAGGCGCCCGGAGAGGCCACGCTCAAGAAGACGGACTCGTGCGACAGCGGCATCACCAAGAGCGACCTGCGCCTGGACAACGCGGGCGAGGCCCGCAGCCCCCAGGACCGGAGCCCCGTCCTGGCGGAGGTCAAGCATTCCTTCTACCCCATCCCGGAGCAGACGCTGCAGGCCGCCGTCCTGGAGGTGAAGCACGAGCTCAAGGAGGACATCCAGGCCCTCAACGCCAAGATGACCACCATCGAGAAGCAGCTCTCCGAGATCCTCAGGATATTGACTTCCAGAAGAGCCTCCCAGTCTCCCCAGGAGCTCTTCGAAATATCGAGGCCCCAGTCCCCCGAATCGGAGAGAGACATTTTTGGAGCAAGCTGAGGGGTGGGTCTCTTTGGAAAAAAAAAAAAGAAGAAGAAGAAGAAAGAAAACAAAAACAAAAACCGAGAAAAAAAGAAAAGAGTCCAAGACCACCCCCCAGCACCCCCATCCCCGGCCTAGGCACCCCCCACCCCCCCACCCCCCACACCTGCGTGACCAACAACTTCCAACTTCTCAACGGAAGACCAGAGTGGGACAGTCGCTCAGGCTCCCGCTCCCCCTCTCCTTCCCTGGGAGCCCCCACCCCCACCCCGGCCTGCGAGACGGCAGCACTCGCCAACTGTCTGCACGCCTTTGGAAGAGGGGGCATGCTGTCTAAAGGGTATCTATCTTCCTTCGTTTTTAATTTTTTTACTGCCGTGATATTTGTAAAAGATGAAAACCACTAGAAAAGAGGAGCAGCTACGTGGGGTTGGTGGGAGCGCGCCTGGGAACCCCTCCGGTAGCCCCCGGGCCGGGCTCCCTCACCAGGACCCCAAAGACTGCGGTGGGCACAGGGACTTCCCAGCATTCCTTGTCCTGGTACAGCCCCTACCTGTCCTCACCTTCTATTTTCCAACAGCTGTCATTTGTCACAAGCCTGGGACAAGGGGAGCTTGAGGGTCAGGGAGGGTAGAGCCTTGCACCTCTCTGTCTCTAATGGCTAAGGCCACAAAGCAGAGAGGTGCCCGGGGCGCCTCCCACTGACACTCGGAGCCGGAATCCTCAGGTCGCCTTTCCCAAGTGGAAGAGCCGGAGAGGGGCCTTCGGGAAGCAGAGACTCTGGGCTGTGGTCTGAGCCTGCTGTCGTGGGAGAGCCGACAGGGACGGCCCCAGGGGCCTCAGACGAACCTCTGGCCCCGCTCCATGCCACTGTCCTCCTCGCATGGGCCCCTTTGCTTCTTTTCCTTCTCGACCTCTCCCCTAGTGTTCCTGTGGCATTCCTCAGGGTGTGCAGCATCAGCAGGAAGGGCGATGAGCCCAGAGTTGCTTTATTAGCAAAGACACAGACACACACACACACACAACCTCAGAAAAACGATTGTAGCAAGTCTCATGTTTCTATTAGGATTCTCACTGGGATTGATTGCCCTTCAGAAGTTTGTATTTTGTCCACTGCATGGGGTCATTATGGGACACTTGGGATCCATGCTTGGCCTTATTTTAAAATTCACCTCTTTTTCTCTTACTAAAGTCAGTAGGACCTCAAGAGAAACCACCAAGACTGCAGGGCCACGCTTGTATTTGCTCCAGGAACGGCAGACAGAGAATGAGGCAGCAGGTTCTCAAGCTGTCTCTGTAAGGTGACGGGCAGAGGCGGCCCGGGGGAGGTCTGAGCTCAGAGTGACCGTCATGGAGCCACATGTGGGCTATCCAGGCCCCTATGCCACGATGCTTGGGGACACTCCACTGCCTCCTAGTAACCTGGGGTCAGATTATCCATGTGTTTGGGTTCTTTTCAATGGCATCTGAGAAAGGAGAGAGGTCTCTCCAGGCCAAGTGGAACTAGCTCAGGTGTGTGCCCCTGAAGAGCGTCAGGACCCGAAAAATCGACACGCAAGGTTGGAAGTTTTACTCTAAGAATTAGCTTTGGGGGAGAATCAGGAGTGCAGGGGGTCTGGACTGTGGGTGACAGCAGGGACCCATCCAGGGTGCTGGCTTTCCTCATGTGCACGCTGCAGCGCCTCACCCCTGGCACGTGGCATTGCTTTGTGCACAGCCTGGGTTAAGCGCCCCGGGACTGAAGGGGACCTGCCAGGATGGGACTTGCCCTACCAAAGATACTCAGCATTCCTGAAGGCCTCCCATCTGGGCCCACCTACCCGCCCGACCCTTTAGTCCTGCTCGGCGGCCACGACAGGCCCCAGGACTGGGCCTTCAGTTGGGTGTGTGCAGAGTGGGGCTGTCCTCTCCTGGCTCCCAGCATCGGCGTGGATGGCCCTGGGGAACAGGGCCCAGGAGGTCAAGGGAAGATTCTGGGCGGCTTCTCACGGGAGGCTTACCGGAGTGGCTCCTGGCTTCCCAAGCCTGCAGCAGGATTAGATTCAGCCTCAGAGGGCAGCACGCAAAGAGGAGGCAGTATAATGTCCCAAGGCCGAGTGATGACTCTGGATAAAGCTTTGAGAGTTTCAGTCTCCTTGAAAAGCTGCCAGCTAGTCCAGAGGCTATAAAAATCTGGAACACCATCTGCCCCAGAATGTTCTAGCTTGCCATTCCTTAAATATGTTCGTTAGCCCACTTCTGAAGTTCAGTGCTCACTACCTTTAAGTCAGGACCAGGGCCCTACTGACTGACGCCATTGTCCGGCTTTAGAAGCACCTGCCCAGCTCTCTGCAGGCTTGATGACAGGCTCCCGTCCAGGCCCCTCCGGGCCAGCTTGGAGGGGCCCCCGTCCCCACCAGCTCTGCCGGAGGGTACAGGTGTTTATTAAGAAATGCCTCCCCATTGGGGTCCGAGGGGCAAAGACGCTGATGTGCCAGGCTCGAAAGTCCACACTTGCTTGGGGGGAGAAAGTAAAGCTTCATGGACGCACTCACGGACTGACTCCTAGGATTGAAGCCTGGATGCTGCGATGGGAACGCGCTCATCTCGGGGTCGCAGGCCCCACGTGTGCCTGTGGTGACAGACCACAGCGTGGCTGTGTGTGCTTTTCGACTTCTCCACTTAAGGATTTTAGTGACTTGTGCTTTATTTCCTCTGGAAAAAAAAATTTTTTTAATAAGCCAAACCTTCTCTCCTTTCATCTTTATGACATGCACTTGGCCGTGGGCTGCTTTGTGCTAACTACCCACTCTTGCCTGGATGCTGCTCTGGCTTCCCGAGCAAGGGCCACAAGCTTCAGATGCTGACCGAACCTTCCACTGTCTGGTGGCTGAAGAGAGGTTAGGGAACCTCGGAGTCACTAGGGGTTGGACCCAACACCGAGACTTTAGAAGTTATGCTGAGAGGTATTTACCGGAGTTATTTTTTCCTTTTTGAGGGACGGGGACATGATGTATTATACCATTGCCCAGTACTTGCTGGTTACTTGATCTCAAAGTCTTTACCTCGAATGTTCCTCGTAGGGAGGCCCTGCTTCCCAGAGAGTGTCCCGCCAGGCTGCCTTGGAGCCGAAGGCCTTGCCCCAGCGCTTGGCTGCTTGTTGAACACGCTCTCCTCTCCCCCACCGATGGGAAGCGTGGGAGTGAGGGTTGAGTCTGTGAAATAAGATGGCCCACGAGATGGTGCGCTCGTTCTCCGTGGAGGACGAGGACTCGAGCGCGGAGTGTTGCCGGCCCATGTGCCTGCAAGGGCTCCTCCACCAAGTGTGACAAGGTTCCCCCAGGAAGGAAAGGGTGGCAGCTGCCTGGTTGAGAAGCCCTTGTGTTGATGCCTGCACCTTCATCCATCCCATTCTCTCATGCTCAGCAGCCCTGGCTTGTTTCTAAGACCATTCCTTATATTCACAACCTCAGACTACATCTGTGTGCAGAGTTTGTGGCCTGTGGTAGGCAGCCAGCAGCTTAACACATCTCGGTTGCTACAACAGCATGGGCCCCAGTGTTTCAAAGCAGCTCCCATTTCTTCTTATCCGATTCCTGGGCCCCTTCTACCCTCAGCCTTCTAGATCCTGTGTGCTGTTGCTGGCTGACATCAGGCCCTGTTCTGGAATCTTCTTTCAGAAGTGGAGCCAGCATGGCTCAGAGTAAAAGTGCACTGCACCGCTACACCCCACCCCACCCCACAAGCCTCCCTTCTCGAATCCTTCGGTGGTGGGTGAAAGTAACAAGTTAGAATTCTTATCCAAGCCTTTGTGGGGACTAAAAGAATGCCTTTAGATCCCAGGTGTAGGGAGAGCCTCCTCTCCCCTTGCTGCACTGACCACCATATGGCACATCGCTCTCCGGACAATTTTAGGAGCCCTGGTGGAGATACAAGTTGCTGATGTGCATTTGATGAATAGATTGTACAATGTTTTGCAATAAAGATGTTTAGCCTTAAGACCCTTGAATGGAACTCCAGCTGTGATGGAGCTGCCAACACTCCCCCTCCTCCCTCCTCACGTCGTGTTGCTTAAAGAGGAACCCACTGAGGGCACTCTCAGACCCCAGGGTAGCCTTTCCTGTGTCACTAAATTGTTGTACTGCCTTCTTGCTCGCTTCAATACAAATACTTTCACCAGCTCTTGTGCCCTCCAGCTGGGGGGGGGGGATTTCACTGTCCCCTCAATACCAACCGCAGCCATCAGAGAAAGCACCATTTTCTCACAGGAGGTATTCATGTTGAGAAGTTTTGATTTCTACTCACACAGATCAAAAGAATCAATGTGAATTTGCAGCTTAGTTTCAAATGAAACTTCTCATGCGAGCAAATCAGACTTACTCTGGAACCTCTAGAACTGGACTCAGATGCCCCGCAGGTGCCAGACCTGGTGGGTGCCCTCCCTGCCCCACCATTAAACTTTTCTTAGAGCCATTGTCTCTGTATCTGTGACTTTGGAGTCAGTCGACGGATCTACTAGTTGTTCAATGAGAAGTTCACGGATCTTCTATCAGGATATGAACAATGAGAAAGATCTTAAGGAAGATGCAAGCCCCCCGCCCCAATGAATGTATTCTCTTAATATTCAGACGTTGTATTTGTGCATCATTTGGAGACTGCCCACATTTGACGTTTCACCAACGCTGTAAGGACACTTCTACTCCTGAGCAGTTTGTCAATCTGGGGCTTCTCATATTGACACTCTTTCCATTGAGTCCCACCAAATCCTTTATCGGGTTTTTCTTTTTCCTTCGCATCTGCCACTTTGTCCAAATGAGCATGAATAGACAGAAGTACAAATGAGCTGACAGTATTTTTATGGTCAGCTGAGGATGCTGCCAGAAACTCCACTGTATGTGTGCAGCTTGGGAATGTTAAGAGGAATATGCGGGCCCCTCCATTGATGATATACCCTTCTCAACATTTTTAAACAAGCACAAATGATATTTGTAAAAAAAAAAAGTTTAATTTTATTTATTATGGTAATAAACTATTTTATACATGATACTTGCTTTTGCCTTTTCTTATATAATTTTAAGGCATCGAGTTGGGTGCTCTGAACTAAGATGACAGAATAAAGATAGTACTTTCTATTCCTTTTCAAGAGCTTGGAGGCTCTAATTTGGATAGTACCTGTTAAGTGTGGTTTTGGACAACTTAGGACCCCCAAATTGAGTGTCTCAGTACAGCCTAGCAAGAGAATGGTTGTGAAAGTGCTTTGTCATGATCTAGCAATAGGGCTGTATCTGCTACACAAGCTTACCGAGATGCCTTCAAAACCTGGCATCACCGGAACACTGTGGTACAACACATTGACAATAGGTGTCTGAAGGTGACTTCCCGATTAGAAATGAACTTTTAAATTTTAAACAATTTGGGTTGAAATCTATTGAAGATATATTAATGCTTCCCTGCCTTTTAAAATAATAGTGTAAAAAAACAAAGTTTTGGGGATGAGTCCATATCAACAATATGAGTTCTGATCTGTGCTTTAATTCATTGATGGTATCAGAAGCTAGAAAGGTAGAGGACTGCTTGCCTCCAAACTAACTAGTCCTATATAACAGCACTCTTAGTTTTGCTGTGGTTTTAATAGGTATTGCTTCCTGCTCATGGTGAGATTCTCCACGGCACTATAAATCTGAGTTATTTAATTCCAGTGGCCCACATTTTTTAAAGGGCACTTTTCTTTTTGCAGACAGTAGAACTTAACTCAGGATGAGGAATCTGTGATCTGCAGGCCATATTCAGGCCTCCACTTGATCTCATAGAGCCACAGTATGAATACAGCATTCATTGTTAATGGTGTCCTCTACAACCTATTATTTCATTACATTGCAGAAGAGAATAAAATTTGAGGTGATAATTTTTTTAAATTCCAGGTGATTGATACTCATTTAAAAATCTTACCTAAAAAAAAGTCTCACCTATGAAAAGCACTGAACGTTATGTTCTTTATATATCCTCAGTGGTGAAAAAAACCTCTCTTTGTGAATATTATTTTTATAATTAGTCAAAAGGACTAGTAATACAGAACTAAATAATAGATACTACATTCTGGGTGCCAAAGGGGTGTCAACTACTAGAGAGGGGGATTTTGTGGGCTTGTTTTAAAAATAAAACTATTTCCCTGAAGGGGGGAGGGAGCCTCTGGTTTCTCCATCCCCACTGAGAAAAGCCAGCACCAGTAAGATAATCTGGCTTCTCAATAGTTGGTCCAATTGTGTGTGTTTGTTAGGAAACAAACTCATTCTATTATGGTTAATTTCTTATACTCAGTCAACAATTATATGATTATTTTAAATAAGTGAGCAGTCACAATTTCTTTAAGGGGAACCCCCACCCCACTAAATTACTATCCTCCTAATACAGAGATTATGCAACTTTATATGTGATTGATACATTCTCTTTCTAGCCAGCAGTCTTTAATAGAACAAAAGGCTTTCTGTTGTCACTTCAAACAAATTAATTTGAAGGAGTAAAAAAATACTTTTAGGTCTTCTTGCACAGTCCCAAGAATTACTCAAAATGACCAAGTGTTGGCTGTCCTTCAGATGTCTTGCTTGCCTCCTTGGGGATCATCTTGGCAATCATGCTTGGAGCTCTCTGGCTTGCCCACAGAGCTCAGTTGAGGTCAGAGGATCCTGGGGCTAGAAGTGACCTTGGGACCTTGTCTAGTTGTTTTCCAGCTGCATGCCTGAAGCTGCCCAGGGCTGATGGCTGTGGAAAGTGACATGTCAGATGCTCCTCAGCTGGAACTGCTGTCTTCCCAGGCACTTCAAGACTCTTTCATTTAAAGCAACTCCCAAGATTTTACTTCACATGCACGAGGAAAGATATGTTAACATTTTCATATTACAGTTGGAGAATAGCAAGAGGTTAAAGAAAGAAAACAATGGTCCTAGATAATCCACATGTTGGTTAATCAGGCCTCAAATAGTAGCTCATCATATACTAATTCCTGAGAAGCACTCTAAATCGTGTAATAGCCTAAAAGAAGTTCAGGATTATCACTTTCAAATATATTCACCAGTTCTTCGAGTATAAGTCGAATGAATGAATAAGTCGTTTTGTTTTTACACAAATGGTGTCTCTAAAGAGTTCAAAATTCTTTGTATTGTTTACATCAGCCGCTGGCCGACAATCATCTTCATGTTCCTGTGTTCCCTTAGCCAGCCCCTTCCTTCCATGGGAACTTCAGCCAGACTCTCTGTGGCTGACCACAGTTCCCAAACTCGTGTTAGTCCATGATCCTGTACCATATTCATTGGAGTGCTCATCTTCCCAGCCCCATTCCCTCCTTGAAACTTCCCAGCCCCTTGGAATCACCTGCCTGGGCCTCCCTCACCTTTACCTCACCTGCTGAGGCCACTGCTGTCAGCCCGACTGCCCCCCTGGTCTGTTCTGTGCAGCGGCCAACACAGGCTGTGCCCACCCCATGCCATCGGCTCCATCCTGGTCTGCTCTTCCAGGCAGAATGGGCAGGAAGAAAGGATGTCAGCAAGATGGCCAGTCCTGCATTCTAGGAGTATAAATCTCATTGGGTTAAAAGCCACAGCCAGGACACATGACCACACCAGGTAGCAGATGTGAGATACGTGGCCAGATCAGGTCCAAGGAAATTATTTCATTGTTATGCGTGTTTAGATTTTAAGCATTTTCCTCACATAAAAAAATCTGAAGTGATTCTACAAAAATGTGAATTACCAGTGTGACATTTTATTTGAAACAAAACAATGTAAACCACTGAGTGTAAATCACTGAGCAGGAAGTCGGCTGCTGGGACTTACTTCAATGGAAAGGAAAAAAGACCGCAGGAAACCATCCTTACCCTTTGTCACTTGCCTGATAACACCTGTCTGTGGACGTGCTATGCCCTGTTCCTTAATTCTGCTTCTTTATTGGGAAATGACGATTAACTGGCTGGCAGAGGAACTGGCGTGTTTATACTTCTCGGCAAATCTAGGGAACGAGCATCCAAATGTGGATCACCATGGTGGTGTTCCAGTAACAGATCTCCTTAGCCACTGACCCCTTGGAACACTATAGGATATGTTGGATCTTCTTTAACTGGGTAATGAGAAACTCGACTGTGGCTTTGTCCCTTCCCTGTTGGGGAGCTAAAGTGTGAAGCTTAGACCCCAGTGCTGGTTCTAGAGACCACATTGTAGGACATAGGGAAGAGGTCACTTAAATGTTACCAAAATGTTTCAGAAATATGCCCAGTGGAGGACAGGCCTTATCACTAATCAAGACTTCTGCACTCCAATTGAGAAATGTCTATTGTATTTAATTCTTGGTAAAGTAGAAGAAACCCCAAGGGCCTATAGGACTGGGTTCTAGACCACACTGTCATCATGTGCAGCTGGGTAAGATACTCAACAGGAGAATGACAGGGCTGAGGGGGATGAACTCTGGGTTCCCAAAGTTAGAAGACTCTCTGGTTGTCAATTTTCTATGAGAGCTCAAGCTCCCACTCTTGGAGTGAGGTAACTTCAATAAAAGATGAGCAGATCAAACAGTGGTTCCTTGGAGGTTATCTTGGTATGCGAGGTCAGGGTGAAGCACCATTTGCCTTGAAGGCCAGCAGGAAGGGCTGCCATGGGCCGGGCAGCATTAATCCACTGAGTATGTCTGGGACCAGGCAATGCCCACATGGGAGTAGCAGTACAGGAATCCCAGGACAGAGAGCGTCACATATGGCCAGCCTGCAGGGGGAGGACAGAGATGGAAGAGCAGTTAGAAATGCCTGTGGCAGGACCTTCCACAGGTGTAAACTTTCCCCCCTTTGGAGAAGGCAACCCAAGAAACAACATGGGCCTCAGTTGACGCATTAAGACACGTACCTCCTGGAAAGTGTGCTCTAACTGGAACACCAACAACTTGAACCCTACATTCCCACTGGGGTCTGCGTAAAATGAAGGGTGTGCTATCTCAAAAGGAAATTAGGTTTAGAAATAGGACAAGCTTTTAAAGAATACGTACTTATAAAACTAAAGTAGTTAATAATCAAAAAAAGAAGAAAAGTCCATAAGACCCACAGTAAATCTCAAAATATAGATTGGCCGTTATAATGAATCGGGTGCCATCTGTAAGCACACAGAAGGGAGAGCCTAAATTAAACATTTGCTTTCAAAACTCAAAGCTTTTAGTGGTTCCTTCTATAAGTACTTGTCTTAGAATATCTGATGTTCTTTTCTTTCTCCTCCTCTCCCTCCTCCTCCTCAATTAACAGCCCTTTCTGCTGAGTATTTGTTACTTAATGACTTCCATGTCTTCTACATGCTTCCCTTTCTCAAACATTTACTAGAAGCTTCGGAGAGCTAGAGATGCTGTGGAAGGTGCCAGATGCCAAAATAGGTGATCCCACTCCAGCTTGGGAAAGGTACACACACACTACTGAGATTTATGAGCCATGTAATATGTGCTAGATAATGTTGTGTACAGAGCACATTTAAACTGGGTCATGTGGGGTGAGCAAGAGTTTGTCAGATGGAAAGGGACAGGGATAAGCTAGCAGAAAGACCAACTGAAGTGTGAACATCATGGGCCACCTCTGGAACAGGGATCATGTGATTGTGGCTACTACTCAGGGAGACGCAGGCAGGGTAGGGCCCAAGGTAGGGAGGAGGCAGTGGGGAGCCACTGAGGGTACTGTACCTCTGCAGACTCTCTTCTTGCTATGTCAACAACCTGCTGCTATTATTGTTAATAGAAGTTCAATTAATATAGCATAGTGGTTAAGTGTGCAGGCTCTGAAGTGAAACTAGACAGTTCAAACCCTGGCTCTGCCACTTGCCAGCTGTGTGACCTTGAGCAGCTTAATGAATCTCAAATGTAAAACTAGGAAAGGGACACAGCAACTTTGTTAATAGTCTTTATAGGATGCTGTGGACTGTGTCCCCCCAAATTCATGTGTGGATGCCCTAGCCGCCAGTGCATATTTGGAGGCGGGGCCTTTGGGAGGTAAATACATTGAGATCAGATCACGAGAGAGGGGCCATCATGATGGGATTAGTGCCCTCCTAAGAAGGGACACTGAAAGCTTGCTGCTTCTCTCTCTGCCACATAAAGACACAGTGAGGTGGCCACCTAGAAGTTAGGACAGGGTCCTCACCAGGTACCAAGTCAGATCGCATCTTGATCTTGGACTTTCCAGTCCTGGAACTGTGAGGAATAAATGGCTGTTGTTCAAGCCATCCTGTCTGCGAGTTGACTAAGGCATAAGGAAGGAATGTGTGAAATGATGGAAAGGCCTGCAGGGTGTCTGGCCTATGAGAAAAGGTAGTAATAACCCTGGGGAGAGGACACAGCAGTCTTGCCCCACTGAGATTAGAGTGACAACAGGGGAGTTCAGCTCTGGTCTTCCCCTGAACTCCTGTTTTCAACTTGCTCTATAGACTGGCTTGGCACAAGAATTCTCATAGGCCCTGAAAGCCACAGAAACAAGAGGAACAGAGGATTCCCAAGAGCCTGGCTCTAGGACCAGCCCTATAGTCCTTCCTATCTCCTGTCTGCTAGTCAACCAGTGTATTAGCTTTCTGTGGCTGCTGGAGCAAATTACCACAAATTTAGTGGCTTCAAACAACAGAAATGCATTCTCTCACACTTCCAGATGCCAGAAGTCTGAAATCTAGGTGTTGGCAGGGTCATCCTCTCTCGAAAGGCTCTAAGGGAGACTCCTCCCTTGCCTCTTCCATTGTTGGATGACCTCAGACAGCCCTTGACTTATGGCAACGTACTTCCAACCCCTGACTCTGTCTTCAAATGGCCTTCCTCTAAAAAAAAAAAAAAAAAAAAAAAAAAGGCCTTCCTCTCAGTGTACCTCTGTGTCCTTTCCTCTCCTAAGAACACCAGTCATTGGATTTAGGGCCTACTCTATATCCAGGAAGAATTCTTCTCAAGACACTTACCTAATTACATCGGCAAAAAACCCTATTTCCAAATGAAGTCACATTCTGAGGTTCCAGATAGACATGAATTTGGGGGGAGGCACCATTCAGCCCAGTATAGCCAGGTATTTTTCAAGCTTCAAAATGGACCCATCCTGCCTGGAGGCCCTCAGATGTCTTTCCTCTGTGGCTCAGACACAGATGCCAGGGGACCTGTCAACATCTGCTCCCCAGTAGGCTCAGGAAGCAGGAATTAGGGAGAGGGCTGCAGGCACGGGGAGCAGTCCCAGACTTCAGCTGTGTTTAGGATGATGTGCTGGCAGGTGTTTGGTAAACACAGAACCCAAAGGCTGGCTATGGAGGTGGGAGAATGGGGATGTTTTATTTACACAAAGCTGGGCCTGGGTCATTAGACAGCTGTGCTTGGCCCATGGGGGACATCCTTGTGAAAGCTTCTAGCCAGCACACAGAACTATAGGCGGGGAATATCCCCAATACTGCCTGGAAGTGTGGCATGTACATGTTCAGTTTGGACCACAGTTAGGCCCTGAAAATTCCCTCCACCATTAACTGTCTGCCAGGCACAGAGGCAGGTAGACCACAGTGCGGGGACTTGTAATCCTGACTCTACTATGAGACCCTAAGAGGGCCTCGGTTTCTCCATCCACACAATGGGAGGCCAAAAATAAACAGAAGCACACGAAATAAAAAAAGATCACAGATTTGGTTGTGCTTTTAAAAAGTGTTTCAGAAATGCTATAGGACCACCTGAGAAATCCATGTACACAGTTTACGTGTGAAGCTGTTCTGTCTACCTGGCTCACTGGCCCTTTGAACAGGAGTGTTCCTATAGATAGTAGCCCCAGTGTGTACTGGATGGCTGCCAAGGACCCCTTAACTTTTCCCGACCTCAGGAATAAGATCTATGATGATGAGGAAAAAACAGTTTCCACAAGTCACCCTTCCACAGTCTTCAACCAGCATTTCATGAGCATCTGCTGTGTGCCTGGCCCTGTCCTGGACACCAGACATCAACATTCCCGTGTGGGTTGCCTATAGGCCCGGGGTCTTTGACTGTGGCAGCTGCTACCCAAGCGCTGAGGAGGTCCAAGTGCTGAGCAGTGCTTGGGGGCAGGGCCTGCTCTTCATCAGGCCTCGGATGAGCACAGAAAAAGAAATTGGGATGGGCAACATCCCAATGTTCTGGCAACATTCGGGGCTTGCCATGATGCAGTCATCCAGGCTTGTCAGCCATTAACAAGAGATGGCATCCAAAAAGAGTTCTGTCCTGCCAAGTGAACACCGGCCTTATCCTATAGCCCTCACTTCCCCTGGCCTCTCCCCTCTGTGTTCTCCTCCCAGGCTCTCCCTTTGCACCAGGATTTCCAATCCACAGTGTTTCAATTCCCATATCCTGGCATCCCTGACCCCCCCCCCCACACACACACACACACCATTAATGTGGCTCATAAAGCCTGGTGGGAAGTATGGTGTTGATCAAAGGAAAAGATCCCTCTTAAGCGAGTACTTTAAGGCCATAGCCCCCTGCACACTCGGTATATTCATGGCTAAGCCCCCAGATTCAATGATGCATCCTGGTGGGTTTCTGATATGTACACCTATTAAGATCTAAACAGTTGAGCGTCTTAACAGATGACAACTAGGCAGCACTGAAGATATTACAAACAGGATGCTAACAGGTCAGACAACAGTTGCAAAAGATTGGGTAATACGGTTACCAGGAAGATTATTTGACAGATATAGGTAAATGCATAATAAGTAGGATGTATAGCACAGTAGATTCAATTAAGAAGATCAATGTAGGTGGTATAATAGACGGAGTTAATAGGATGTAGGTGGTTGTATCATGATATTGTTAATAGGACACTGGTGAGCTGTATAATAACTACAGCTAATAAGAACAGGTAGGACACAGAGGGAAATGCCTATTGCTAAAAGAAAGCAAGCAGTGTAATTTTACTTGAGGTTATTATGGCTGAGCAATTTTCTGAGCAATTACATCAATCTGGAAAAGACTGGAAAGGCTGAGGCTCAGGGTAGTGAAGGAAAAGACCATCATCGACATGCAGGGCCATGAGGAGTCAAAGGATGTATTAAATTGGTTTTCTGGAAAGTGATGGGACAATCAGAACAAGCAGCAAATCTAATGAAAACCGCTGTTTAAAAGGGAATGTTCTAAAATGTTTGCAGCCACTGTGGAACACAGCATGGAGGTTCCTCAAAAACTTAAGACATAGAATCATCACATATATATCCAAAAGAACTGAAAGAACTAGAAGAGATATTTGTGTGCCCATGTTCACAGCAGCATTATGTACAATAACCTAAAAGGGGAAACGACCCAAGTGTCCACTCACAGATGAATGGAAAAACAAAATGTACCCTATGCATACAATGGAACGTTAGCCTTAAAAGGAAGGAAATCCTGACACAGGCTACAACATGGATGAAGCTTGAAGACATTATGCTAAATGAAATAAGCCAGACACAAAAGGACAAAGGCTACATACGAGGTCCCTAGAGTAGCTGAATTCATAGGGACACAAAGTAGAATGGCAGTTGCTAGGGGCTGGGGAGAGTAACGGTACCAGAGTTTCAGTTTTGCAGGATCAAAAAGGTTCTGGAGATGGATGGTGGTGATGGTTGCATAGCAGTGTGAATGTGCTTAATGCCACTGAACTGTGCACTCAAAAATGGTTAAAATGGCAAATTTTATGTTATATGTAATTGGCCACAATAAAAAAATTCTATGCTGAACAAAAGAAGGCATTGACAAAACTATATGTACATTATTG